TGCCCGGCATAAATCCAAATTGATTATGAGAAATTTTCGTGATGCATCTTAACCTATGTTCAATTACCCTCTCCCATAATTTTAAAGTATGCGACATCAACTTAATTCCTCTATAATTTGCACACTCTTGTGCATCCCCTTTATTCTTAAAAATGGGGATCAAAATACTCTTCCTCCACTCCTCAGGCATCTTTTTAGTTTTTAAAATAATATTAAAGAGTTTAGTAAGCCAAGAAACTCCCAAATCTCCCAAATATTTCCACACTTCAATTGGGATATCATCTGGTCCTACAGACTTTCCACCCTTGGTTTTCTTTAAAGCCTCCTCAACTTCTTTTTTACTAATGCGACGGTAAAAATAAAATGTTTTATTATTATTCACGATATTAAGATCACTAAGGTTAATCGTATTTTCAGAAGCTTCATATGCATATAATTATTATTGATTTTAATACAACACTTTGAAAAACGAAGATATCAATTTCATGGAAATTTAAATGATTTCTCTATTTATCATTTGACCCGACTAACTAATTTAAAAACACTTTATTGCACATCATTGCAAACTGTCATATATATTCTATACTAGATTATATAAACATTAATACTGGTATTATCTCCATGATACAATATGATTTGCTGAAATAACATTTACGATATGTCATAGAGATAATCCATATGAAATAGATATTGTTACTACATGAATTATTTTTATATTCCGGGATGTATGCAACAACAAATCTAGAATGCTATCTGTTTTTTATTACGATCATGTAAATGAAATCTATAGAAGTATGTGTGAAAAATCTGAATAATAATTACGGGATTAACAATCTGTTAAATATCCAATGAACCTAGTATGAGTATCAAGGTCAATGCACTAACAGAGAAAGTTATATTTATTTCCTAATAAATAATAGCTGCTTATTTCAAAATGTGTTGCCTAAAACTCTAATTATAGTCGAGGTCTAATTATATCTTTTCATAATTTTGTTATTTTCGAGTCAATTGTGTTTCACGTTGAATTATGCTAGATTTATCATGTATAGAGGAAAAACATGAAAAATATTATGCACTTCTGCTAGCTTTAGAGGTAAAGACAATTGATAAGAAGCTTGATTAACTTGTTTTATCCATTGAAAATCTTCAATTGCCTAATACTGTAATTCCACAAATAAATGAAATTTTAAAAAAATTTATGATACGAGGATATGATGGAGGCTTTGAGATAAATTTTATAAAACCATGATTAGACTGATAAATTTGTATGAATATGGATGTTAGCTTGGAAATATTCGTTGATATTTAAATCGAGTATGATAGTATATGATGGAGGCTTTGAGAGAAATTTTATAAAACGATGATTAGACTGATAAATTTGTATGAATATGGAGGAAATATTCGTTGATATTTAAATCGAGTATGATAGAAATGAGCATCTAAGATGGATGGATGATAAAATTTGTAATGATAAATTAATGAATGCTTATATTAAAAAAATAATACAGACCAAAAAATTTTCATGCCTTATTTAATACGTTAAGTTTGATATTTACATTTATAACAGTTCGGTGTCATAAACATGTGCATGAAAATCTATCTTTTACTTTTAAAATATTAGTAATAGTGTTATATTTGATTTTATGTTAACTATTTGAATGATATGCATCTACATATGGAAGTTTATGTGTTATATATGCACATACATAAGAATTGTGTAGTATTTATATAAATGCCTCAAAATTAAAATTACATCTATTGAACATAGACTTAGATAATGTGGACACGTACAACAAATGGTAGAAAATATGCCTTTCAGATGAGCTGATTTAATTATTGTGAGTGGATATGAAAGAAAAATTGATAGATCTAAGGTTACATGAATGGAAGTTGTTCAAAATGAGTTGCAAAGAATATATTTAACACCTTAGACAATCCTCAGTTGGAATAGATAAAAAATGAAATTTATAATTTTATTCTTAATACTTCCTATATGGGCAATGATGATTTATTTATTGAACTTTGTGCTTATTACATTATTTCTTTTCAGCTTATGCAACATATATCAATGCATTAGGCTTTCAATCCTTTTTTCTCATATTTAATTTCTAAATTAATTTTGCAAAGCTCTGGATGAATATTAGGTAACTTCTTGTGGTGTGCATCTTAGTTACATATTTAAGTGCGTTTATGTACCCAAAGAAGCCCCAACATTATTTCAAATAATGATAACACAGTTCCTAAATGCTTGCCACCATCCGGTAATTTTGATCGATAAGACCTGTGTTCATCACAATAAACTTGATTCATATGATTTGCTGAAATAAAAAATCAGCAGAAATAAACATGAGATCCATAGCTGTTATTTTTTTATTAGATTGTATTCCTAGTTAACCCGTACAGTGTATAAATCACAGCCCTGCTGATTTCCAACAAGTTTGCACCTCAAATTTATCAACTGGGTCATTTCATGAAAGTTTTTTTAGCGTATCTTTCTATCAAACAGATATTGACTTCGTGCCCTTTTTCTTATTCATGGAAACTCAGGTGGGGGATTGATAAATTTCCAAATGACCGACCTCTTGTCTTCTATAAGGATGGAAAGCCAATAGTTCCACCTCTTGGAATCTTAGATGGACTTGAATTGGTTCTTCAAAGTATGGTATCTTACATCAACAAAGAAATTCCCAATAATGTTGTAAAAATTTGGCGTACCCAATCTCCCAGGCATTTTTATGGTGGGGAATGGAATCAAAACGGGAGCTGCTTATTCACTGAACCTCTGAAACTTGAAGAGGTATGTATCTATCACAACACATTTTATGACTTGTGGAGGTAAAATAAAAACTGACTGTTTCTATAGCTTGATTCATGGTTTGATCCTACAAATAAAGGAGGAAACAAAGAAGCGAGAGAAGTGAACATCCGCATCGAACGAGCAATAGAAGGCACGGGCATTCAATTGCTTAATCTGACTCACCTAAGTGAGTTTAGAGCTGATGCACATCCAGCAATTTGGTTAGGGAGCAAGGATGCGGTGGCTGTATGGGGTCAGGATTGCATGCATTGGTGTCTTCCTGGCTTGCCTGATACATGGGTTGATGTCTTGTCAGCTCAAATCTTGTGCAGTTTGTAAGCATGACAATGAATATGGCGAACATTCCATCTATTATGCAAAAATGGTAATTCATTCTTATTTTGACTTGGTTTAATTCCATCAAGCAACCATCATGAGTATAGCAGTTGTGCAGATTGGTCCCGCACCAAATTCAGATTTCTGTTCGCTTGACTTCATTTATCTGGATTGATCGTATTGTTTCTGTATTGAAGTTTGTAGTTTCGCACTTTGCTTCACTTTGCATGTGAAGTGCACATTTAAAAACCATGCTTAGTTTTCAGATTGCTGCAGTATGTATTATAGCTTAAATTCAGCAGTGTGTAGTATAAATCACAATGCAGGCATTTAACAGGACACTGCAGTTAGTATAAATCACCAATCTGCTCAAATTTTGGAAGAGCTGTTAAACTATTGGTTCTCTCTTACTTGGCTTCTGTCCATTTTCTCAAGAGCTAATTTGCAACTGTTTGGCACTGTTTCTTTTTTTTGGAAGATTTACATATATACCACTCAATTTCTATGTATTTACATATCTAACGCCCAAACTTCAATTTTTACATACATGCCACCTAAACTTTGCACAAAACTATGTGTTTTGTTTTTTAAGGTTAAAATAGTGGTATTTTTTATGTGATATGAAAGATTCGGGTGGTATGGATCATTTTGTTTTTTAAGGTAAAAAATAGTGGTATTTTTGATGTGATATGAAAGATTTGTTTTGTTTTTTAAGGTTAAAATAGTGGTATTTTTTATGTGATATGAAAGATTCGGGTGGTATGTATATAAAATGTAAAAGTTCAGGCGTTAGACATGCAAATACATAAGAATTGGATGGTATGTGATACAACGAGGTCAAGTGTAGATACAATTTCTAATTTTATCATTGATCATCAGCAGGTATTGTATATTGAAAAATGATGTCAAATCATTTGCAGCATGAAAGGGCATCAAGGATTATCAAATTTACTGTAGATTACAGCAAATGTTTTGCACTTGCTATAGAGTTGTGAATTGTGGAAGTAGATCTGACGATTGTATCAGACCGGATCAATATATGATTATAATTATTTTAAGCCAATAGACATTGTCAAGTATGTCGCATTCTACATGAACTGCGCACAGAAGACTGGCTTTTGAGAACATGGTTATTAGGA